ATAAATATGATAAATTAGAATGTGATATATTATTAGGAAATGATTTCATACAACAATTTTAATATTATAAACAAAATAATTATATGATAATGTTACAAACACCTTGTGGACACTTATTAAAAATTTATAGAGAATTTAAATCTTATAGAGTTCAGTCAGCTCAGTGTGGTGATAAATAGGAGAAAAAATCAATTCTTAATAATAAAATAAAAAATAAAAGAATATTATATAAAAAGGTTCTAAAAACAAGAATAGAAATGAATATAAAAAAAAAAATCATTGAACAATTATAAAAGGTTTATGGAGAAAATCCATTATTATTTTAGAAACCACATCACCCAAAAGCCAAAATAGAATTAACAGAAAATGTTATAATAAGAGTAAGACCAATGATGTATACTATAGAAGATACATAAGAATTTAAAAATCTGATAAAAGAATTGTTAGAACAAGAACTTATTAGACCTAGTAATGGACCTCATAGTAGTCCAGTCTTTATGGTTATGAAACACTCTGAACAAGTTAGAGGAAAAACTAGAATGGTCATAAATTATAAAGAATTAAACAAATATGCTAAATTTGATAGTTACTTTCTACCAAATAAAGAAGTACTAATAAATCTTGCAAGAGGAAAATAATATTATTCTAAATTTGATTGTAAATCAGGATTTTGGCAAGTAAAAATGGAAGAAGATAATATACAATATACTGCATTTAACACACCTCAAGGAAAATATGAATGATTAGTTATGTCATTTGGTTTAAAAAATGCACCACAAATATATCAAAGAAAGATGGATAATATATTTAAAAAGTTTAATGAATTTTTAATTGTTTATATTGATGAATATTAATATGTTCTAATAGTAAAGAAGCGCATAGAAATTATTTAATCCAATTTATTAATGAATGTAAAAAAGAAGGAATTGTACTATCTAAATTCTATCTATAATAGAAAAATAAAAGATAGACTTTCTTGAATTATCAATTGATAAAAGAGGGATAAAATTACAGACTCATATATCCAAAAAGATAGAAAGTTTTCCAGATAAATTAGAACCCAAAGAACAAATTCAAAATTTTTTAGGATGTTTAAATTATGCAGAAGGATTTATTGAAAATATTTCTAAGAAAAGACATAAAATTCAAGTTTTACTTAGAAAAACAAATACTAAGGGATGGAATGAAGAACATACAGAAATAGTTAAATCATTAAAAGAAGAATGCAAAAATTTACCAAAATTAAAATTACCAGATGAAAAATATAATTTGATTGTTAATACTAATGCCTCAAATAAATATTGGGCAGCAATATTAAAAACAGTTCTTAATGAAATTTGTAGATACTCGAGTGGAACTTTTAACCAAGCAAAAATAAATTGTACTACTTATGAAAAAGAATTACTAGCAATTATTAGAGGAATAAAAAAGTTCTCATTATTTTTATTATCCAAGAAATTTATTATTGAAACTGATAATTCTCAAGTTGCAGGACTAGTCAGGAATAAATTACCATCAGAACCCCAATACAAAAGGTTTCATAGATAGTAAGCTTATTTAGCATTTTATAATTTTGATATAGTCCATATTAAATGAGTTAATAATTTTCTTGCAGATTTTCTCAACAAAAACATAGAATTTGCTGATGGATAAAGTTAAGGCCATGGAGTTATACCAATCCATTCTACACATACAAGAAAGGACAAATTTTCTTAAAGAAGAATCTGAAGATATAAATCCTGGAGCAACCCAGATCTTAGAGATGTTTAACTCAAATATGAAAATATTGTCGAATATCACTACTGAGCATCATAAATATGCCATAGAACTCAAAAATCAAGTTGATGCAATTGCAACACAACTAAATAATATATTGTTTGAAACAGATATACCAAATAGCTCAGAAATGAGTTTTCTAAATCAATACCAAACAGGGACAGCTAGAAGTAGCAGTTGACCCAGACGTGACAACATACCAACTGATAATAAAGGAGATTCCATTTCTGTATTATCAATTAAGAAAGTTATAATACATGGAGATAAAAGAGATATCAAAACAATCAGCATCATAAACCAAGAAGATAAACTCCCTTTAGATCCAAACGAAGAAAAATATGCCGAAATAGTGAAAATTCTTATGAAATAAAAATAAGTGATTCATATTTCATTTCTTTGGAAAATAATGTTTACTCCAAAATAACAGTCATGGAAGGAGGTGACCCTTCATTTATAAAAATCATAACATACTATAGATTCATGGATTTGATTTATCCAGGAAAAGATTTTATTGAAATTTCAAAGTTTGATGACATATTCATTAAGGAAGTATCCAGATTTGCCAAGTGAAGGAAGATTTTTTAAAATTCTATTCAATTAGTCCAGAATATGATGGAGTTGTTTACTATCCACTTGAACACATAATCTCAATTGGATATGTTGCAGCCAATTTCCAAATTGACGTTACAGAAAATAATAGAAAAGTCCCAACAGTGACAAAATCATGGATCAGACATAGAAGAACACTTGGAATTAAAGCCATTTACAACATTGCCAAAAATTTGTTTGATAAAAAATTCTCGTGCTTATGCCAATATGAAAATTGGATGTTGGGATCCAACGGAGGATATGCAAAATCATAAATTTTAAAAGACTATATTACTAGATTTGATATACATAAATTTTCAGGATGTCCTACCACTATAAAAGAATCCTGTCAACTAAGGGAGTGCCCCAACTGCATGTGAAGAAATAAAAGAAGAAGACAAAGCACCTTTTGACAAAGGTGTATGAAGAACAATAATACTACATGTGAAGGCATTGAAGATAAAGAGCAATAATAGAAAAATATGCTCTTTGGATAAGAAAGTTGAACCACCATGTGAAGATGTAGACCAAAGGAAGAAAATAGAAAGGCAAGTGTGCCTTGCTGATGTATTTAATGATGTAATAGAGTTTCAAAAACTTGTATAAATAGAGACATTACCATAGAAGAATATCATCTCATCTTATCTTGAATTCTCGAGTTGTAACCAATAGCCTATTCTTAGTTTAAAAAATCAGTTTTTCTGGAAAATCTCTTGGTACCAAATATAAGTCTTGTATCAATCCTAAAAGAAATAAAATTCTAATATTTTGATATCAATATGAGTTTCTAAATCTTTTTCCCATAGATTCTTGAAGGATCTAATATAAAGTTTCCTTCTTATTTTAGCAAAAAGAGAAGTTTTTCTTTAACAGAAGTTTAGAATTTTATTCTTTAGAAGTTGATACAGTGAGAGGAAGTAGCTGAAATAGTAACAATTCCGTGAAGGCAAGAGGCCGTTGAAGGAAGCAGTTTACAAATTCAAAGCTCGAAGATCACTCAATTCTAAAAATACAAGTCTAGATCAAACCTAAGGTAAAACTATTAAACTTTTGCTAAAATTAGAATTAATCTTTTTAAGATCTTAAAAGAATCACAGGGACAATTGCATGATGATTATTTTGATAAATGTCAGGATATACAGTTGAAAGATTAGATAATTTATTAGAAAGAATGTTAGAAGAAATAAAGAATATTATATCTCAATTAAAAAATACAAATTTACCATTTGAAAAATATGATATCTTATTAAGAAAATATGATATATATGTTATGGATTATTCTTATTTATTAGATCATAGAATAATTTTATATTCAAATATCTAAAATAGAATAAACAGAAGATAAAATATTTAAAAGATTAGGACATATGTTGCAATATAGAAAAAATCATTTCATTAAGGGTAATATAGACATTTCCATAAAAAGGAATAGTAATAGGCCATATAGAAAAATCTCCCGTTCCAAAAGTGCAACAATTTTAGCTATGAGAATTACTGAAACTGTGCACGGGGTCCAGTCTTTGAGAGTTTAAAGAGAGGAAGCAAAGAGGCAATGGCTCATACAAATTCATTTGGAAATCTAAAGGGCAGTCTTGTTCTCTTGAAGCCAACAGAGTTATTTCAACTAGACACCAATCCACAAGCACAAAGGAATCGTCTAAATCTGAACTTTGTACAATGCTGATTGGAAAGGCCAAGATAGAAATCCTTGAGAAGCTAAACCAATGGAACATTGCTCCTAAATTTGAATTTGTAAATAAGAAGGCATGAACATGGAAAAGGAGAAGCCAGCTGTTAATGAACCGACGAGCAATAAAAACAAAGGTGCTATGATTCTTGGTTCAAGCATTGTACGAAATGACAAATTTACCACACCACCACCAATAGCCTGGGAGAAGTATAGGCTGCGACAAGCAACACCACAACCCAAACAGTACCCCGCACAACCCAAACAACAACAAGCACCACCGCACCACAACCTAAGACAAGTAGAGGCGGCGCACAACCGCACCACAATCCTAATAGTTGGCGCTCAAATAACAAGAAGCAACGTACAAACAAACTTAAGAGAAATAGAGGCGGCATCGATTTCAAAGGCGAGGAAACAAAAATGTTTTCAAGCTTGAAGGAAATACGAAACATGAGAAGGGCTTGGTTAGGGTTGTGTATGATTTCTTTTAATCTCACGTAGAAGTTACAGCTAGTTAGGATATTAATGAATAAATTTGTAATTTAGGGTAGTAATCAATTCTCTTTGATTTGGGCCGTACTTAACCTAGTTTCCTCTTTTTGAAAGACAACCCAGGCTATATCCCTAAATGGGTTAGTTTATGCCCACATTGAGGCAACGAGCCTAAATCGATCCTCGATGTGGAAATGGGTCTGGTCGGGTCGATCCTTGAATTAGAAAATTACTTTTCTCTTGCTTTTAATTAGAAGGAGTTGACAATTTGGAAGTAACTCTCTTTTACTATCCAACATAGTATATTTATTTTTGGATTTCATAAATAAAATATATTAGTGAATTTAAAACTTACTTATTTACTTATAGTAAACATTCTGCATTTAGCCAAACATCCTCAAAGTCTTCAAAACAATCAATGGATATGGCTAACTTGCACAAAAACATGCCCAAATAATGCACAAGATGACAATTTTATTTTGCCAAAGGACAGGAGAAAAATCAGAGTCCACTAAGGTAAGCGTTTATTAAAAGATAACATGAGTCCCAACATAATATGAAAAGGGGGAAATAGTGATCTTTGTATCGATCAAACACATCGTCTCTTTGTAGAAAATACATAGCAGCTCGCAAATAAGCAGTCATGAAAGAATGGCGTTCTCCATAACTCCTCATCATATGCTCCATATTTTGGCCTAGAAGTAATGATCATAACTCGATCTCAACATTGTGAACTTTCTGATCCTCGGGAGGCATATCGTCGAGGTTAAGTGTTACCAAACCAGAGCCTAATTCATATGCAAAGTCGACCTCAAATATTCCGACCCTGCACTTTCTAGGGTTAGCCGATGAGTAGGCACCAAAACGTCCACAGCCCTTTACCTTCATCGACACTAATGCAACCCATCCTATGCTCAGATTCTCGAGTATCTCTTCAGATGACTGCGAACCAGTCTTAACTTCATACTCAAGTCCTTCTATTGCTCCACCAGAGTTGAACATGTCAATGAGACCCAAAGGTGCAAAACTGAACCCGGATGCCAATACTTTAATTGGAGTAATCGTGTAAATTTCATGCTCGAGGACCTTGAGTGACACCGACATGGCAACATTGCATGGCGAAGTGACGAGATCACCACTCCGGTTAGAATACACAGCACAGTGTCCATTCCAGTTGGAGTCCAACGCAACTTCAGAAATAAGATGGACATCATGGCCCCAGAAAAAGCCGGTTATTGCTTCGGATTTAGTTTGATGGAATGTGTTCTTCTTCTCAACACTATCCCATGCTGCACCTTGGCAGTTGTACACTCCAAGTACTCCAGTATACTTGTTCATGTTCCATATCTTCAATAAGCTGACATCATTGATTTTTTGCTTAATCAGATATTATATTCTTGGACTTTAATGATGGTAATACTAAAATCTTGAGCTGAAAATGCTTACCTAACACCATCACGAGCAGGGTCAGAAAATAGACAATCCTTGGTAGGCCGACCAGGGAGTTGTGCTCGAAGAATCGATCCATCAGGAAGAACAAGCTTCTTTAGAAGATCAAAATTGTGCTTGCCAGGTGCATCACTGTCATTCAAGTAATCAACATAGTCAATTGTAACGAACTAGGATTGTTATCAACAGACTGACTAAACTAGGATTTGTTACCTAACGTAGACAGGTCCACCACTGATGGCCCTTGCTGATCCATGGTACTCGGCTGCCGGATGAAGAGAATGAAACATATCCCAATCTGGCACCATGAATTCTCCTAAGAAGAGACTGTTGTATGAAACAGTAGCAATGTGGATTGTATGCGATACAGGTCTGCTAGGGAAGAAATCATCTGATGCTCTCACTATAGCAGTTTGTTTTGAGCTGTTTTACAAAATCATCGGAACATAGCGACTAAGCTTAAAAAGTTACTTATAATTAATTAAAGAAAAGTAATTAAAAATGTTTGTAAATCCAGTGTTACAAGCGAATGGACGAGAAATTTATATACCAGTAAAGTGAATCAATATTGTGGCACATACAGGCGATGCATCCGTTATCAGGGAAATTTTTAGAAACAGAAGCATCGAGCGCTTGATGATATTGCCTGGTTAACTCGACCCGACCCCCCAAACCGGCCCCAAGGGTCTCCAATATGCATTGTTCATCCACTTTGACCCCATCTATTCCAGCAGAGGCCAAATAGCTGTGCAAATCATTGTAAAACTTGAACACATTCTTGGGATTAACTAGACCATAACCCTCCAATGTAATTGCATCATTTTTCCACCCTGGTTCATTCTCTACTACTCCCTCGGACAACTTTGGATACTGAAGGAAAGATCCATATTCCTCCATCTCCTTCACCCCTGGTCGAACCCCAGCCCAATAGCCCGTGATTGTGTGCCAAATGAACACGTACTTCAACCCGTACTTTTCTTTTGCAATGTTGACTATATGCTTAATTCCCACGTTCGGATCATCTTTGTTCTGAAATTTTGAGTTTTCCTTGATTCCTGTCAGCCTCAACAAGGGCACATAATAAGCGTTTTCAAGCTCTTTTTTGTCGTCGTCAAATCCAACTGTTTGCCAACCATCATCAATGATGACGAACTTAGGAGGGGTTTGACTGGCACAGAGACTTTGTAGGCCGGCCTCAACCCCTTCCTGAGACACCTCCCGGTAAAAGGCATCCCAAGTGCACCACCCAAAATAATCCAGAATCCCAGGCAATTTTTTCTCATCCCTTAGCCTGAATGTCCCAAGATGCAACCTCACAGCCCTCATAGCCTCGTGTATGGTCTCGAATGGGTCAGTACCGGCACAGACATACACCGAATGATCGAATGCAGATCCACCAGTCTCACTATCCCCACTCTCTAAACATAACTCCACCTCGTCCTTGTCATTCCCCTGAAGACTAGCTTTAAATGGCCCTTCAATGAAAGGAAGGATGACAGTATAAACAATTTCATTATTATCTATTTCATCCTTAGTTTCCAGCAGCAAGAACTGTGTTTCCACTGGAATATCACTTCCCTTATCCCCCATTTTCTGAGCCATCCACCATAAAAGGTACCTAAAACATGCTATGAATCGAACTTTGCGTAATGTCCCAAGTGACACCACATGCCTACTGTTTTTTTGATCAAATACTGCACCCAAGAAAAGCCCCTCGATCGGCCCAGCTGCTGCACCAGACGTCGCTACCACATTGTCCGGTACATTTGTCAATATCGTCCGGCCCTTCACGACGAGTTTCTTATCCACTATTCCTATAGTAGTCTTGATCGTCATGGCTTCTTCAACAAAACTAACTTCTTCTTCTTCTTGGCTACCCTGCAAAATTCAGTAAATGATTAGTTGAAACTTGAAAATCGAACCTGATATTTGTAACAAGGATCTTGTAAGCAACAATGGATCCAGTAAGTTAATGAAAATATGGAAGTAGAGATTAAGAAATACCCCTGGCCCAGATTTCTCCAAGCGGTTGTGCTAAATCACTTGATCTAAAAATGCTGAGCGAAAAGTAAATCGTCGGATAAAGTTAAAATATTGTTTTCAACTATTTCTTACTTTAATTTAATTTCGTGCAATTTCATTTAAATAGGCGACCACAAGATTTGAATTAGAGAGTCACTTGTATATCACATGCTCAAGCCGTCACACAAGGTTAAACGTAACTCATTTAAATGACGTCTTTTATCGAGATTCGGATCCAACAGTAGAAAAGATGGTGTCCTTTCTTAGGTCGAAATTTGGCTTGAAGTCATTGGGGTTTGCACACAATCATTAAGTTTTGAATTGTTGCGACCAATGAGATGGTTACACGTGAATACAACAATTATGAGGTGTCATCATCAGATGGCAGATATTTCTTCAATGATCGATGATGTCCTAATAATGGGTCATCATTATTGATTCATGAGATTCAAATTGACATTTATTAATTACGTGTCAGAAAAGCATAAATTGAGGATAATTTAATACTCTACTCCAGCATATTCTAAGGCCTCGAAATTGAGGATATTCCTTGTGCCTAAAAATCTAATGCAATCCTCGTCCATTTAAAATTTTTATTTGCTATGTTCGAGGCTCGATTTTATTTTCAAAATAAAAAAAATGAATTTCAATATATATATATATATATTTTTTTTTTATTATTATTATTTTTTTTTTGAAAAGGAATCTTTCATCAACAAAGTTGAGTCATTATACCTCACCAAACCTTTTGCCAACTTATGCCTACAAGATTTGATGTACGTGTGAATGGCTCGTGGACGTGTGTAATTAATTAGACAAATATAAAAGTTGCAATTGAAATTTATGAATGGAAAATGTGTGGTTAAAAAATAAGAAAAAGTTTTAGATTTGACTGTAATATTTTTTTTATTGAAGAATGTGCGATTGAAATGATGTCAAAACACTGTTTCAAAATGCATTTTTTTGAAAGAATGTGGATCAAACAAGGCGTTAATTTGTTAAGTTATCAAGACAACAACTATTTGTTGTAAAGAGAATGACGTGATGGTTGTATAATTGAATACATTAAAATGAACAATTTAGGGGTGACTTTAATAAGTTAAAGCATAAAGAACGGTCAAATTGTTACCTTCATGAGTAAAATAATAAGAGTCGAAGAGGGATTAATCAAACCTGACTCAAGAGCCGACACATTGGATTGTGTCCATCCCTAGTCAAATCGTTTCTTTTTAACTCTTTTTCCTTTTTATTGGCAAAGTTGTGTTTTTGAGAATGCAAAATTTTTATCAAAATGATGCGTCGGGCAAACTCAACATTTAAACATTACGTGTTAGTAATTAGTACTAAAGTAACTATCCTCTAAAGAAGATCATTATCCTCGAATCAACATATTGAAAGTCTTGCGGGGAAGTGATATTTAGTGGCAAACATGAAATAATTTAAAATTGAATAACTCAAATAGAACTTAGCTTAAAGTTGGGTGACCTCTCCAGAGTTTTTCGATTCACTACATTTTGGCGCCAAGAAACTCTACTGCCATTTTCTTTCTTAGGGCAAAATTGATGCAGTTTTCAATTTTCGCACAACAAAAATCCCTAACAGAAGGTAACAAACAAATCGTGAAAATGGAGACTTCCGAATCCAAAGAGCAAATTGAAGAAATCAAAGGTCTTTTATCCTCGAAAAACAAGCCTTTAGCTTATTCAAAACTCTTGCACTTCCAACAACAATCCACCGAAGATACATCTTCCATTCAAATACTTGTGGATTCAATCCATGATATTCTCTCCCCTGTTGTCGTCGATATCGCTAATTACGATGAAGAGATGTATGTCCTTTAGTTTCTTTTGTATAAATTCGCGTTCTTGGACTTCCTTTTTAGTTTTATTGGAATAACATTTTATCAATCCAACAATTTAGTGAATCAACTTTGGCTAACAATTTGCATTCGTTGCTGAGAGCAGTCATCCATGCTCTTGACAATCCTATAGGTTCCTTTTCGGCAACCTTTGAAGCAATGCAGGTACTGGCGCATTTCCAACATCCTAACATCATATTTTTGCTCATCTTTCTATGGGGTTGCACTGCAAACTGCAAAAAGCAAGTTCCTTAGGCATTCATCTGTGAAGTATTCTTAATGCACATGACAGTTAGTTCTGAAGGATGAAAAGACAATAATATTCTCAGTAGCAAAGCCAAAAAATATTCTGTTTCATAGACACAAACTGCGTTAATTAGCTAGCCAAGATTCTCGAACTTATTTCTAATTGAATTTGAATTAGAAGACTCTTCAATAAAGATAATAGTTTTTCAGTCTTGTATGCGCTATCTACAAACAGTTAGGCAAAGAAATATCATGGAAATTGAACAAAATTGAACAATGTATTCACTGTAAGTTTTAATCAAGCATATTGCCTGCCAAGTGCCATATGCTCAAAATTGTTGGCTGTAAATAGTTTTTTACAAACTACAGTGCTATAATAATGTTGTACCCTATCTTTCATCCACTTGAAAAATTTTCTTGTCTTTGAAAATTCTTTGATATGTGGATGTATTGCATATGCTTAATACGCTTTATGGGTTGGGTCATCTTTTTCTATTAATTTTCTTTTGGTGTGCTGTAACAGGCTGTGGTGAAGTTGACTAGTTCATTAGCTGAAAAGATGAAAGAAATGTCAAATGTATGGGCTCCTCCAATTTATAGACGACTTGTAAGTGTTGACAAAAGGGACAGAGATATGTCTGAGAGATGCTTGCTGAAGATTAGGTCCATAATATCTCCGCCGCCATTATCTCTCTGCAAGGTGTCAGATCCTATTGCTTGTTATTTCAACAATTAATTTAATCACTGTTATCCCTAATTCAGTCTCGAAACTGGTAAATCCTCAGCATGTAAGGTGTTTGTCTATTGATTTTACCTAGCTGATTGGACACTTCTGCATTTTCCTTTCTTTTCTCTGCTTTTCTAGTTTTGAACTTTTCATTTCATTTCTTTTTTATTTTATTTGAGAATGGGGGTGAGAGGGGGAGTTCATGCTTGCAA